GTATTTAGCCTTTAAACATAACGCTGGCTAGACGTGTTGGTGAGTGTTTGTTTCAGCCGCCCATTCTGGGTCCGACGCTGTTTGCGGCCGCCAAATCTGGATCAGACGCCACGGGTTGTGATATTATACTACCCCTAAAATCAAGGGTTGCCAATTCCGCCATCTTCGCCGTACCGAAAGTATTTCTTCGTCGCCTTGGATGGCGTTCTGGACTTCATCCGTGACCCTGGACAAGGGACCCTTAGTAGGTGCTAGCTTCCTGGGTCAAGAAGCTCCTGGAATCTGCAAGGGGCAGAGATTTGTTCTGCTAATTAATTAGAAATAATAATAATTAAAGATTTCAACATTGATTTCAAAATTGATTTAAAAAGAGCTTCTAATGAACTAAACAATTTCAGTGATCTAATTTCTACTTTTGGCTTAACCATAAATATTAATAGATCAGCAACTTGTTTAGATAATATTAATTACTATTTAACTGGGAATAAGCCACAATTAAAGATAAAAATACGTTTATTGACGTTTCAATTTCCACTTCGGAAATCGTTTTCAAAATACAAACAGTAAGTTAAACAAATTTTGTTTTTTTTTTAACAATTTAATTAAACAAAAAACAAAATTTGTTTAATTTACTGTTTGTATTTTGAGAACGATTTCCGAAGTGGAAATTGAAACGTCAATAAACGTATTTTTATCTTTAATTGTGGCTTATTCCCAGTTAAATAGTAATTAATTTAAAATGCCACAAGAAAATAGCTTCAGAACAATATTGTTTAGATAATATCTTAACAAACATAAGCAGTGAGATAGTTGGTTGTGGAATTGTGGACCCATGTATTTCTGATCTTACTCAATTTCTCTATTTCAGAAACAAAATCAGAAAAAAGTCGTAGTAATACATACAGAAAACATATAGGAAGTAATGGCATCCTGATGTTAAAACAGTAGTTAAAAAACGTTGATTGAGTTTCAGTTGTTTCTCTCAAAATCCTATAAAAAAAACCACTAACTCATAGTAAAGCTCCAATTTTTTTGTTTGATGATGAATTAAAAGTAAGACGAGAAAATTTTTTCGCAGTAAAGATAATTGCTGATGGTACAAAAGATTGTAGTGAGTCTAAAAAGTTTAAGAAGCACTACACATCAACAATATCATTAAAGCATTTCTTTTTCAATTTAGAAAATATATCTCGTGACAGTTCGAAAGTTATAAATTATCACAAAAATAAATTTCAAAATAAAAAAGTCTGTCCAAGCGCGATTACATCAAACGATTTCTATAATTACTTCAGTAGCTGAACATTTCGAAGTTTTTTTAATTCCACAAATGAAAATGTAGTCATAGATTTTTTGAATCTTACCTTACCACTCTTTATTTTTATTACCTGTTAGTGATACTGAAATCAGGAATGTTTTACATATCATGAAAAATTCACGCTGTACGGACAAAAAAATAATTGTAGAAATAATCGATTTAATTATTGATAAATTAATTAGGTATACTTTATAATAATTGTCTTCTTCATCATGTTCCATCGTCTATCGAAGGTTGGAACCTGTTGACTGACGCTCTAAATAGTTAAGCGACTATATTCTTCGTCTTCCCACATTTCGTTTTCCTCACATTTTGCCTTGCATAATAAGCTGCAATAATGAGTAACTTCTCAACTGCCCTCTCATAACATGGTCTAAGTACTCAAGCTTTCTTCTTTTGTTAGTCCATACTATTTCAGCTTAATTTTCTGTTCTTCTAGTAACTTCTGCGTTTGATATTCTTTGAGTCCATGATGTTCATAGGATTCTTCTGTGACACCAAAATTCAAAGGCGGCCAACTTATTCGGATGCACTTGTTTTAATGTCCATGCTTCCAGGCCATAAAGAAGAGTAGTGAATACGTAACACAGAAGCATTCTTAGGTGTAGTCCTAACTTTATATCGTGACAACAAAGAAACTTTTTAAGTTTAATGAATGATGCACGTGCTATTACAATACGTGTCTTAATTTTTTTGGTTTGGTCTACATTTGATGTTATCCATGTTCCTAAGTATTTGTAGGTATCCACACTCTAAATTAACAATCAATTGGATGTTTGCATCTGCTGATTTAGTCATGATCATAGTAAAGCTCCAATTTCTATTTCCGTCTATATTCTAATTCTAATTCGTCTACTTATAACAAACTGTTTCTCAAATAATTTTGTGCAAAGAACTTCCAACATTCCTTTTTTTGTACCTATATGTTTCTTTAAAGTACAAATCATGTTCATACAAAAAATCCGATATTTGTTTTTTCGTGGAGCCTTCACTGGGAATTTTTTAATTTGTTCGCTCTGATACCTCGCGTTATCCATTACAATGACACTTTTTGAAGGCAAATTTGGCAACACTTTCATTTCAAATCATTCCTTAAACAAGTTACTCGTCATATGTTCATGGTAATCCAGCTTTGAATCTTTAATGTTTTTTGCCAATAGTAAAAAACTTTTTCCTCCAAGCCAGCCATTTTTGGATCCAATGTTCAGAATAATTAATTATTCGCTGACCTCTATTAATTGGATAATTGGGTGCACACTTAATAGAGTCATCTGTCCAACCTTTTTGAGCAGTATCGTGGGTATCGAACCATGTTTCATCCAGATAAAATATCGGTCTTCCTTCATCTCTAAGTTTAGATATAGCATCCAAGTATTCGTTTCTCCAGTTAATATTAATTGATTCCAAGCAACTTAATTTCAGATGAGTAAATCATATGAGTAAGCAAAGGTGACTAATTCGTGTATAGCATTTTTTTTAATACGAAGCATTGTGTAGAAATTTTAATTTTAACCATGTATTTGTACTGATAGATAACGAGTCAGTTCTGTAAATAATATAAAGTCTGGTCCTAGTAAGCTGTTCCAAAACTATTGCTACCCGTCGCAAACACAATTGAGTGATTAGTAACATCAATAGGTGTTGTTCATTATTATAATACTGCGGTCGACTGGGTCATCCCACCAGCCCCAGGCCAAATTTCTTATATCTTGAACCAAACTATACCTTCTATTGAATCAGAGAGCGCGTCTTTAAATACCGCTTCACTGTAGACATTGAAAAGTAGTGTTGACACTACGCAACCCTGGCGGACTCCTCTCTGTATTTTGATATCTCGGATATTCTGGTTGTCAACTCTTACCTTGGCAGTTTGGTTCCAGTATAAATTAAATGTAATTTTCATATCACGACTGTCAATATTTTTGCTTTTTAATATATATATATACAAGCTTTTATGTTGAACCTTATTAAATTCCTTTTCAAAATCTACAAAACATAAGTACGTGTCCTGATCATATCCATGCATCTCTGTGCCAGCACATTCAAGCCGAAAAAAGCATCTCTTGTGGCCATACCATTTCTAAAGCGAAATTGTGTGGCACTAATTTCATATTCAAGAGTTTTAACAATTCTACTGTGTATTATTTTCAAAAATGTTTTAAGTGTGTGACTCATTAAAGCTATTCTTCTGTGTTCTGAGCAGGATATTACAACTTGACTTTTTGGGTACTGCCACAAAGGTCAATTGTAGCCATTGTTTGGGGATTGTGGCAGTCTGATATATTAGATTAAATAGTTTAACCATTACATCAATAACATCTTCATCAATGAGTTTTAATAACTCGATGTAATGGTAACACTGACGATATCAATCATTGGATGTTCGGGTGCATATATAATGAAGCTGCTATTAAGTATCTAGGTATTGGAAAAACTGATAAAAGAACAAATACCTCTCCCTCAGTGTCAATTTTCCATTTTATATATCTGTCGTCATAATATTAGGTTTAACCAAATTTTTTGGGAATATTTAAAAAGGACTAAAAGAAAAATTTAGGATTGAATGTGTAATGTGAATGTGTAAATCTAGCTTTGTTAACTCTGTCTATCCTTATGTTATATAGTTACCTTCTAACCGTTGCCTGTCTTGTGTTGTAATAAAGTCGCTATGAAAGGGACCTTAGCGTGAAAAGTATCCCTATATTATGTAATCCCTTGTGGGTCCTAAATATTGTTGTCTAGGGCATTGAATGGAACGAATGAATGTATGGTTTTTTATCAAGCTACTGATTCTTGTGATACTGATGTTTACATTATATTTTTAATTTACCTCTATGCGAAGTACTATTTTGTTAACAAATGCAATAGGTCAATGCATCATTAACAAATTCAAGTAGTCAAATAAATTATCGTGGCTGAATGGATCAAGTATCCAAAGCCATTAATTAAATAAAATAAACTCGATGGGCACATTATCTGGTCCGGTAGCTTCGCCTTCTTTTGTGTTTTTGATGGCATAGATGACTTCTTCCCGTAATATTGGTGGTCTGGTATCCTTTGTGATTTCTAATGATGGTAATGATGAAGCGAGATTCTTTCTCCTGTTACCGACCAGAATGTAGCTTCGACTAAAAAATTTTTTTAAATAATTTTTAAATAATTTTAAACTGTTTGTTCTTGTTTAGTGTAGTGTTATGGACAATTTTATGTTTAATTTTATGTTTATGACATTCTGCGTTTGTTGGATAGCCCAACATTGACGAAATTCCCCTGAAGATGCTCTAGGAAGCGAAAGTACTTGGGCAAGATTTAATTAATAAAATTGTGCTCGATATCTGCCTTTCATTTTATTAAAGTTCATTTATTCGATCATTCAACCTTATATCAACATATAAAATGGATCGATTTGTCAGGAGTATAATAAACAAGTAAACAAGTTAAGTCAAGTTCTAAAGAATATAAAAATCATGCAAAATGTGTTAACATAAGAAACTAACTACCTTAGAATCAAGATTTGCAGTGACACCAATGTATTTTCTGTGAGATACTCATCAGAGGTTGCCCAAACATTTTACCTCAGGAGATGTTTCAGTATCATTTTGTTATATTTGGGCCATGTTTTGGTCTTTGATTAAAATTGTAAGCTATAGTAACAGAAAAATATTTAGTACTTTATTTTTTTCAGCCCCTTACGAAGGTGGTGTTTGGAAGGTGCGAGTGCACTTGCCAGAACATTATCCATTTAAGTCTCCAAGCATTGGCTTCATGAATCGTATTTACCATCCCAATATTGATGAGGTGTCGGGTACTGTCTGCTTGGATGTGATCAATCAAGCATGGACTGCTTTATACGGTAAGTCATAATTGTTTTCATATTGCCTATGGCCTATTGTCTACGTAAAGCAGTTACAAGAACTTGCAGAGAACAGATGTAAACTCAATAAAATAGAAGTATAACCATAACAACTTGCTACTAAAAGTTGTAAATCCAACTTCATTCTGGGCATTCTAAATCTTATTCAGGAGTATTTTAGATAAAAAAAAACCTTGTATGTATTAGTAACTAGGTGATTAATACATAAATAAGTAATGTTTTATAGTCTGTAGCTGTAAATCACAAAAATACTAATATTATGCAACAAAAAACACCCACTATGTCTAAAATAAGTAGGGTCACCTAGGGTTAGTGTGGCAACATTAAATACCTAATTTATATTGTGCTTTTTTTATTACATATGACGTTATATTAGACTTCTATTGCATTTCAACATACTACACTGCGCGTCACGAAAAAGAGGTCACCTAGCATTTTGTAAGAATTTTTCAATAACTTATAAGTTTATACAATTTATTCTATTGTAAGTAAATTCCCACAATGCAGAAATACTTTTAGCGTCTTTCAGGCACCGACAAACGGTGCCGACAGGTCAATTAAGGGTAATAAGTTTGCAGAATTGATATCAGTTTTACGACTTCGGATAATGCACGTGTTGTTTGTACCTTATTTTTCTTGGAATATGGCTATTCTGTTTTTCAAAAACCTTTCACTAGTGTACAGTTGTTCGAAGAGTAAACTTGTTCAATTTTTAAATTAAAAACTATGGCTGAGAAATCTGTTCCAATTGTTACTTTGGTTGGTAATGGAATGAGTCAAAGAGAATTGGCCAGACAGCCTGCAGTCAGTCGCTGTATGGTTCAAAAAATTTACCAACCATTCGTAGAGACTGGATCTCACGAACGACGACCAGGATCAGGCCCGAAAAGAATCATGACGGCCAGAGAAGACCGTTCTTTACAACGCACTTCTTTGCAAAATCGGTTCTTTACAGCTAGATCAATCCAAAACCGTTTTCAAAATGCTCACGGGTGCACTTTAAGCACTTCTACCGTGAGCAGAAAGTTGAGGTAATTTGGTCTAAGGGCTCGCTGTCCAGTAACAGGACCTTTGTTAACAGCAGCACATCGACAACGCCGACTACAATTTGCTAGAGACCACGAGCATTGGACGATAGAAGATTGGAAAAATGTTTTGTTTACTGAAGAGTCCAGGATGGTTCTTTATGGCTCAGATGATCGCATCAAAACATACAGAAGACGTGGGGAACGATATGCTGCTTGCGTTCGACGAGTACGTGTTGCTTTTGAAGAAGGTTCGGTAATGTTTTGGGCAGGCATTTCATTCGAGGGCCGTACTGATCTCGTATTTATTGATAGAGAAGTGTTGAATGAACACCGAAACATTACCGAAAATCTAGACGAGCATGTAATGCCTTTTGCTGGGTTTGTCGGCGAAAATTTTATTTTTATGCAAGACAGCGCGCGGCCGCACGTAGCCAGGATCGTAACGCAATATCTGGAAACTGTCGGCTTGCCAAAAATAAACTGACCGGCTCAAAGTCCAGATTTAAACCCGATTGAACATGTTTGGGACCAACTCAAACTAAGGGTAAAAACAGAATACCTGCTCCAATCAATCGTGAGTAGCTTCGTTTGGCGCTCATGGAAGAATAGGGAGCTTTTCCTCAAAACGACATCCAGAATTTCATCAATTCAACGCCAAATCGAATGAGGAGGGTAATTCACAATAGAGGTGGTAATACACAGTATTAATAATCACGACTTAATTGTAATTTTATAAAGAAAACAGAAAAAATGTAAAATGTTAATTTTTTGTTATTTTTCAATAAAGTCATTATTTTGGAAGAAGTTATTTTTTGATTGTTATTTAAAAAATGATTGCATACTGCTTTAGAACAAATTCTTAAACATTACACAAACATCTAATGACAATCTCTTTGTGGTATGATTCGTAAAAATTAAAAAATGGCAAACATTTTGTGGCCTCTTTTTCGTGACGCGCAGTGTATTTAAAAAAGTTGTTTCAGTCCCTTCTGTTTTTAGGTTAAAATCATAGTATTTATTAATGTACGTATTTTAATTTGAAATTCTAATATATTAGTCCAAATTTTGGATTTCTTCAAAATTATTTCTATTTAATTATGATTTTTTTCTCTGCATGATATTGCATCACTTATTTTAAACCTAATTAAAGGCCTTAAAGATTAAACTTAAAGGCATAATTGCCTTTAACTATTATTTTTTTAAGTATGTTAGAGTACAGTGTGAAAATCTGTGGGGTTTCTGTGACAGTGAAACATGGGTATAGTGTGATATGTCACACATTACCACTTACTACCTTAGTTTTATTTTTATTAAATAGATCATTTTTTTGACCTGCTTGGTGAAATTATCCATGAGTTAGGTCTAGAAAACAAGCCTGAAGCTCTTTGGAACTGTGCTGAAACTGCGTTTAATAGTGATCCTACATCAACCAAAATTGTATGCAAGAAAGGTCAGCCTGCGAAAAGAATAACTAGCGGTAGCATACGAGAGACAACAACAGTCTTGGCATGTGGGAATGCTAAAGGGAAAATTCTACCCCCTGCAATAATTCATAAGGGGAAGAGAATTTGGGATAGCATGTTTGGTGGTCAGGACTCATTTACAGGGACAATGTATTACACAACTAAAAAGGGCTGGATAACAGAGGTGGTTTTTCTTATGTGGTTTAAGAAGTGTTTTTTAGGTCATATTACACAACGACCAGTTATTTTAATTTACGATGGTCATATGTCTCATATTAGCGTTGAACTATTAGAAACAGCACTAGAAAATAATGTGTCAATTTTGAAACTACCTTCCCATACTTCTCATATCTTACAACCATTAGATGTTGGTATTCAGAGGATTAAAAATTATGTGGGATCAACTTCTAACCAATTGGGTTTTGCATCATATTAGGCAGAAGTTATCTAAAAGTGAATGTTCAAATGTTTTAGGACTGGCATGGAAAGCAATATACTCATCATGGCTTGTAAGTGGTTTTAAGACAACGGGTATTTATGATCCAGATGTCTTATCACAAGTTAACAGACTAGCCATTAAAGAAGAAAATTATCATCATGATTAAAGAGATTTAAAGAGTCTATCAAATGCAAAATCCAAAAACATCCAATAATCGAGACGATAACAGAGGATGTTGTTACTCGTCCAACCTCCAGTCCATCAGAAGAGCAAGGGATCACTGGTTCATCATCTACCACTCTATTAAAAAAGCATCAAATCACTGGCCAATCCTTCAGCCCATTATAAGGGTGTCAAATCACCGAACTTTCCGTGTGCTATAAAAACACCAGGAAAAGTGTTTGAGGATATGTTTCTGGAAAAGATAGTTTAAACTAGCATAAAAAATAAAGTTAATCGAAGAACTGATACTGCAGAAACAAAACAAAAGAAGAATACGTTCTTTAAAGACAAAAAAGGCCGAGTTCATTAAAGGAAAACAGAAAACCTGTCCAAAAACAATCAAGAAAAAGTCAAAGAAAAATGAATCAGATAGTGATGAGGAGATAGAAGATATGTCTTTAGGGGAAAGTGACGAAGCAGAAGAGGAATTCGTAGAAGAAACTGCGACATTAAAACCTGTAAACGAGGAAGATATTAAATAAGGCTCTTTTATAGTTGCAACCATTATGGGTGGGAAGCGGGGTGCAACTGCTTCCCACGCATATGGTATATGTGTGTAACTGAAAACTTTGATGACACTAAAGATGAAATAAAAGTGGTAGGATTAACAAGTGTTGATAAGGATAAAAACAGTTTTGTTCTTAATGAAAAAGACAGTTTATTTATTATAATGTCTCATATTATAGGTATATTGATGGATCCGATATTATCCCTTAATGGTGAAAGAATTCAGTTTACTTTTAATGGAAAAGTTGATGTTTTTGAATGTTGGATGTTACTGAATTTGTAAAAAAGAAAAGGTTCTCAATAAAATACCTACGTTTAATAAAAAAATTTGTATTTTAAATAAGAAATTTCATATTTTTTTTTTAAATTGTCGAATTTTTAAATGCCAAAAATTATTGCAATATTTTTGTAATGTCTTTCTTTGTCACTCCAAGGCACACTCAATCCTAGGTGATTTTAAATGGCAAAAAAGCTAGTTGTCACACTATCCCTAATCCTAGTCACAGTAACCCATAATGAAGGGATAGTATGACACCTTACCCTCTCAAATAAAACAATGTAAAATGAATTTTAAAAATGTAACATGCCTATTCACTGTGCAATGATTGTGACAATTGACCAGAAAGTCTTCATTAAAAATCTGAAACCATTCAATTAAGACAAATATATTTTTTTTATTTTAAAATCAAATATGCATATTTTTATGTCACATTAACCCTAAGTGACCCTATAAACAAAAGTGTCTCCGAAAATCTGATCGGGTAACCTAACCCGAAAAATTATTTAATTTTCATATTCTTTTAGATCTATCAAATATATTCGAATCGTTTCTTCCACAACTATTAACCTACCCTAATCCGATTGATCCACTCAACGGAGATGCAGCTGCAATGTATCTTCATAAGCCTGAAGAATACAAAAAGAAAGTACAAGGTAAGTTTTAAAAGTTGTTTGTCTCTTACCAGGTATTTTTGGATAATGTTATTCAAGCTAAGTTTTATTTAAATAATTTATATAATTTGTGGTGTTGCTCGATGAAAAGGATATCTCTTACAGGACAACTCACTTCATGTAACGTGTTCAATGCTATATTTAAGATAATGTATACATTACCTTAAATATAGCATTGAACACATTACATGAAGTGAGTTGTCTGGTAACAATATCGGTCGGTAAATTAAACAGAAGAAGATTATTGCGGGTGGTAAGAGTATGTTTATATAGCCACGGCCGGGCCAAAAACGAAAAAAAAACTCGTTTTTCGATCTTATTTTCTCTCGTTATAACCAAATTTCCCTCGCTATGGAGACTTATAGTTCAATAGAAATTTCACGAGACATCTAATGTAACTCTTTATAAGCGTAACCTCTTAATAACCGTGTTCGTTATAGAGTGAGTATACTGTACGACCTTTATCACATTTGACGTTTGACATAAAACGTTGCATTTATGTGATATTTGACGTTTGACATAAAACGTGACATTTATGTTGATCAAGAAGCCTGTATTTGTCCACTGCTGTACGTAGGCCTCCCGTAAAATGTTTCACATATTTATACACTCACCGGCAAAATTAACGGAACACCTTAAAATTGGGACATGTTAGATGTCTCGAATTTCCTAAACCTGTTGTCCGATTTTAGTGATTTTTTTAGTATGTTATAGGTATATTATTTAAGAATATCGATGTAATAATATTGTTGCTAGACAGGTCAATGTCATTTTATACCGGGTGTAACAATCCTACTGTGTTTTTTCCTTAAAGTTCGGAACACCCTGTGGAATATTCTAGCATATATAAAATATTGAAATTAAAACTTAATTATAGCCTCAGGCTTTCTTAACATTTTCTTTTTTGATTCATTTGCTTATGTTTGATAATAAAAAAGTTAGGTACGTTAACAACTAGCCATGTTTTTCATCAATAAATCCTCATTTTCTGCTTAGTTTAATAAACAAGCCTAAAGTAGGCTATGAGAAGTTAACAATTTAATACACACACCGGCAAATTTAAAGGAACCTGTTATTAATGCAATATTTCTTTATATTTGTATTTTATAGACTATATCTACATAGCTTTGAAAGCTCCTTGTCACAAGAAAGTCTTAAATGTCAAATTAATTTGTTTATTTGTATTGTGTTTTACATTTTACAGTCATTCTGTCTGTTCATAACAAGTACAAACTTGTATTTAATTGAGCGCATAGTAAGAAAGAGACTTAAAAAAGCCGGTCTCAAGTCATATGTGCCAATAAAAGCTCCCAGACTCCAGAGACACCATCGTTTAGCACGACTACAATTTGGTCGAGTACATCAAAATTGGAATGATAACCACTGGAGTCAAATTCTCTTTACGGACGAGAGCCGTTTCTGTGTAAATTACATCGACGGTAGAGAAACATTGTATCAACGCCAAGGAGAACGAAATGCCCCTTTCAATTTTACTACGACCGTACCTTTTGGTGGAGGTTCAATTATGGTGTGGGGCGGTATATGTTTGGGAGCAATAACAGAGTTAGTGGTGATTGATGATGGAGCATTAACAGCAGATAAGTATATCAGAGATATTCTCCAAGACCATGTGGTACCTTTTTCACCATATATTGGCGAAAATTTTATTTTAATGCAGGATAATGCGAGCCCACACGTCGCAGACTGTGTAAGATATTTCTTATTACAAGTGGGTATAACAACGATGAATTGGCCAGCTTGTTCCCCAGACCTAAACCCGTTAGAGGATATGTGGGACATGCTAGGCAGAAAACTTAGGGCACGGGTTCCTGCTATTCAAAACAAAGAGGAAGTCACAATTGCTTTGATTGAGGAATGGGAGAGACTGCCCAACAACTGATCGATAGCGGTATCAGAAGTATGAGAAGACGAATAACTGCAGTTGTAAGGGCTCGTAGGGGAAACACACGCTATTAAAGCCAAAAAAATGCATAAAAAACCAATTTAAGTTCAAACTGTACAATAAAGTTAATGCGTTTAAAATCCGTATTTTGTTGAGTCTGACATCTTTGTGTTTTATTTCTTCTTAAACAGGTTTTATATTGTACTACCATTGTAATATAAATTCAAAATACTTCACCAACATTCGTATTATGATATTATCTAAACAGTATATAGACTAGAGAGAAAATACTCAGATTTTATGGTTGTTCCTTTAAATATGCTGGTGAAACTAAGAAGAAAATGAGCATTTATTGATGAAAAACATGGCTAGTTGTTAACGTACCTAACTTTTTTATTATCCAACACAAGCAAATGAATCAAAAAAGAAAATGTTAAGAAAGCCTGAGACTATAATTGAGCTTTAATTTCAATATTTTATATATGCTAGAATATTCCACAGGGTGTTTCGAACTTTAAGGAAAAAACACAGTATGATTGTTACACCCGGTATAAAATGACATTGACCTGTCTAGCAACAATATTATTTCATTGATATTCTTAAATAATATACCTATAACATACTAAAAAAATCACTAAAATCGGACAACAGGTTTAGGAAATTCGAGTCATCTAACATGTCCCATTTTTAAGGTGTTCCGTTAATTTTGCCGGTGAGTGTATCTTGAGCTTTTTGCATCTAATTTCTGCTGATTCGCTTTATATCGTCCGTCTAGTCGGTGGTCGTCCTCTGTCGGTCCTCTTGTCGGTCGTCCAACAATATGCCTTGTCTTGGTCACCATTCCAGAATTTTTCTGGTAAGTATAGAAAACCAAGCAAAAATAGATATCACCGAAGTAAAAAAAACTTTTGCCAACTTAAAAGTTGACTTTGATACATAGTGTTATAAAATTGATGTTTTTTTAATCCCGAAACCATGTTTTTTTAATATACACTCAGATGCAAAAAAAAAACGCAGCGTAGAAAATTTTGCTCAACTTCAAAGAATTTAAATTTTTTTATTTTTTGCACTATTTTGATGATTTTTTAGCACCCTGTATAAATTTATAAATTGAAATATCCTATGGAATAATTCCGTTTGCGAATTTTCGTAAAACCTTATTTTTCGGTTGGAACCATGGCTCCTAAGTATTGTGTTTTTTGTTTCATGTCAAAATATGCCTTGGTTTATTTTTTAGAGCCACCCCACAATTTAGGACTTTTTAAATATGATTATTTTGCAAGTTAATTTGTAAATCGGTGTGGCTTTGGTGACTGTTATCATTATGTCATATTGACACTGACATTTTATTTACCTATGATTGATCATGGTTCTTAATGTCGAAGATTGTGTGAAAGCCGTTGCTCTGGTTGAATATGGGCGAAATTATGAATATGTGGCTAGAGTACTACACACACTCTACCATCCAAAGGGTATGTATGTACAGCGTTAACAGGCCTTTTAGGCCCATTGCTGGATGGATAATTTCCATCGTTTTCTATTCTTAGTTAACAGCTTCCAATCTCTGATTCCCATCTCTCTGACATCTTCCATCACTACATCTCTCCATTTCTTTCTTGGTCTTCCTCTCTTTTTTTTGCCCTCAGGTACTCTCCAAGCAATATTCTTGACTAGTCTATCACCTTGCATTCTTTCTAGATGACCGAGCCATTCTAGTCTACGTTTTTTTACCACTTTTGTTATTGTAGGGTTAGCATACAAATGATACACTTCTGCATTAGTTCGTCTTCTCCATTCTCCCTCTACTACTTTTCCACCAAATATTCTGCGAAGAATCTTTCTTTCCCATGCTTCCAATGTATTCTGTATGGTTTTGTTCATAGTCCATGTCTCGGCAGCGTATAGCATTGTGGGTCTAATTATAGTTTTATATACTCTTATTTTTGTATTACGAGATATATCTTTGGCCTTAATTATTTTGCTCATGGCTCCAGCACACCTGTTGCTCTTGGTCAGTCTCAGGTTGATTTCAGTTTCTTCCTTACATGTCTGATCAATAAGAGTACCTAAGTACATATATTCATCCACCTTCTCGAATTCTACAACTGATCCATCCTCCACCTCCAATTTAAAGGATTCCCTGGTGTTTATTCCTTTTTTGCTCGAGATCTCCATGTATTTCGATTTATTAATATTAATTTTCAGTCCCATTTTAGAGCTTTCCCGAATCAATCTTTTTGTTATATTTGATAGCTCTTTTCCATTTCTTGTAATAAGAACCACGTCATCAGCGTATGCTAAGCATTGGTGCTCCTTGTATAAAATAGTTCCGGACCTATTTATCCCACTATCCCTTACAATTTTTTCTAGAACTATATTAAATAGCAATGTAGACAACGGGTCTCCTTGGCGAACACCTTTTTTCACTTCAAATTCTTCTGAGATTGTACCGTTGCATCTCACAGCATAAATGGTTTGTCTAATTGTCATTTTTACCAATCTTATTATTTTTTCTGGCACTTGGAATTCTTTTAGTGTTTCTATTAACTTGTTTCTGTCTATTGTATCGTAGGCAGCTTTGTAATCAATGAAAAGTACTTGTGCTGAAATGTTGTATTCATAGCAATTGATCAGGATTTGTTTTAGCATAAAAATTTGATCGGTTGTTGATCTTCCTTTCCGAAATCCTCCCTGGTATTCTCCTAGATTCTTCTCTATATATATTTCTAATCGTTTTTTAATTAGTATGGCGAGTACTTTATAAATTACTTCTAATAAAGATATTCCTCTATAGTTTGCGCATTCAGTTCTATCTCCCTTTTTGTGTATAGGAATTATAATCGACTTATTCCATTCTTGAGGCATTTCTTCGGCATCCCATACTTCTAGTATTAGCTCGCCAAGTTTGTTTATTAAGGTCTCTCCTCCATATTTTATGTTCTCTGCCACAATGCCGCTCTCCCCGGGGCTTTTTTGATTTTTCATATCTTTTATTATTTCTTCAATTTCTTCTCTTGTGGGCCTTGGTATTTCTTCTATTACTATTTGAGGTTTAGGAACATAACAATTTTCTTCAGTA